TAGTAGTAGTAGTAAGTAGTAGTAGTAGTAGTAGTAGTCGTAGTAGTAGTAGTAGTAGTAGTAGTAGTAGTCGTCGTCGTCGTCGTCGTCGTCGTCGTCGTCGTCGTCGTCGTCGTCGTCGTCGTAGTACCAAAAGCAGCAATAGTAGTAGTGGTGGTAATAGCCGTGGCCGTTCGAAGACGGCCCCTGGGGACACCCCCCATGCCCAGAGAAAACCCAAGACGAGCTCAACAATTTCCAATACTACACAGGAGAAGCCGAACAGACCCGAACTGTTTCCCAAGGGAAGCTCTTAATGTAGTCAAGTTGCGCGGCATTTTGCCCAGCCATCGAAGTTCTTCTTTTGAGTGTAAAACTGTCTCAGTTTCCCCTGTGAGGGGGCAACATGAGCCTGACATGATTAAGTTTGGCGGGGGGCAGTCGCAGAATTCCCTCCAGACGAAGTTTTGAACGCCGCACTGCTCAATTCGGCAGGGGCCTCGGCGCCAAAAGTGCCGCACGAAAAAAAATATCCTGGCGAAGGGCCCAACCATATGCAATTGTGAGTAACGCGTTGGGTGCCGCTTTCGGTGGACTACGAACCCCGCTGTTTCCTCCTTCCCTCTCAGCCTTTCCCCTGCCTTGCTTGCCCTCCCTCCCGCCGGCCAGGCCGTCAATGCCTTTCCCTTGGCATTCGGGGTCGCTGCGCTTCCCCATACAGGCACCTCCCCCTGGGGCAACGGTGATCCCAGCACCCCAAGGCGCGGGGACCAAAGGCCCAGTGGGCGGTGTTACCGGAGCCGAGGAGTTGCACGGTCCCGTGGCGTGGGTATTCCCCGGGGGCTGACTAGAAGAACATAGTTCGAATTTGATTGTCCTCCTCCTTCTCCGTCCTCCTCCATTCCTCCCTCACTCCCTCCTTCCCTCCCTCCCTGTCCCCCTCCTCCTCCTCCTTCTCCTCCTCCTCTTCCTCCTCCTTCCCATCATCATCAGCATCATCAGCATCAGCATCAGCATCAGCATCAGCAGCATCGGCATCATCATCAGCATCATCATCATCATCATCATTATCATCATCATCGTCATCATCATCATCATCAGCATCATCATCAGCATCAGCATCAGTATCATCATCCTCCTCCTCCTCATCATCATCACCATCCGTTGCCATCTTGGCTCAAGCTGTTCTCCATATCCCTCGAAGGCGCCCACGCGCAGCGGTCAGTAGTGCGCGATTGGGAGATGAGCAATGGCGACCGGGGGGGGCCGCTGGCGCGAGAGCGGGGCGGCCCATCAGGCGTGGCAGCGCGTTGCGCAGGAAGGAGGAGGACGTGGTTGGCGCTTCGGCGGCTCGCCGACGGGCGCGGGTTGCCGTGGCGGCGGCTGGCAAGGCGGCCAGCGGCGGTCCAAGCTCCAGGCAGGACCGCGAGGCTGCTGCGCGCCCTGCCTTGCGCCTGGCCGCCTCGGGATGCCGTGTCCCCGGCGCGACGCGGTGGCGGCGGAACGCCGCGTGGCACGCGTTGCTGGCCCCTGCGGGCGGATTCGCGCGCGCGCTCGCAGAGGGTATCTCGCGGGCCGCGGCAGGCCCCCGCCTGGGACGGCAGCCCGCGACCCCCGTGGTGTTCGACGACGCTCCTGGCCACGCGAAGGACGGGGTCGTTGAGGAGCACGTCGCATGTCCAGCACCTTTCACCCCCACGCTGGAGGTCATCAGCGGGGTTGTCGGTGAGCGTCGCGCTCCCTGGCGGCGACGCGCACGCCGACACGGGCCCAGAGCGGGCAGGCGGGCCCCTGCCAGCAGCCGCCAGCCCCGACGACGTCCCCCCGCTCGCCGAGGCCGCGACGGAGCTCGTGACTCGAGGATTTGGTGGCGCACGCGACGTGGATCAGCCTCCCCATTGGACGCCTTCAGGGACCTGTGCAAGGCGCGGGCGGCCTTCGGAAGGTCGCCGACGTCGCTCGCGCGGAGGCGAGCTCAGATCACGGTCGTCGGCCACGACGAGTTCGACGACGAGGTGCTGCTGACGGGTTGGGCTTCGTCGTGGAAAGGCGCGTGGAGATCGGCCTTTGCTTGGAGCCGAGTGCGGCCAGCCCAGCGGCACCGCGCGGCCCAGCGGAGCTGGCGATGGAGCAGTATATGAGTGCCACCAGGGACGAGTGCGGCGAAAGCAGCGGTCGAGGTTTTTTGGCTGCGGGCGAGTTCTTGGTTGTGGCGGCCGCCTCGCAGATGGCTCTCGTCGCGGCCAGCTTTCTCCTCGGGGGCCCACTCGAGGCCCCCCCCTGGCCGTCGACGCCCAGGATACCGATGAGGCGCTGTGCTCTCCATATGCTGGCAGTGTCCTTCCATATTTTGGCGCTCGGCACGGCCAGGCGGCGTCGTTCTGTTCGCCAGGCGGGTCCGAGGATCAAGAATGCCTGCGGCGAGCGTGCTGGCCTTCTCTTGGGATCGGCGCGGCACTCTGTCTTAATGAAGCTGTGGCACCTTGCGGCTCGGGACCCTAGGTCTGCCGAGCACGGCGCCGTGTTCTCGTGGCGCCAGGCGGGCCCGAGGATCGAGAACGCCTGCGACGAGCATGCGAGCTCCGGTTGGACTCGCGGTGTAGCACCGCCCGTTCGCCTCTGCAGTGCGCGCGCGGTGACGTTCTGTTCGTAGCGCCAGGCGGGTCCGAGGATCACGACTGCCTGCGACGAGCGTCTGGCCCTCGGGGGGTGGGACCCCGTGGCGTAGGCTGTACCCCGCGGGGCTCGGCGCACGCCTGGGTTCACTCTCTCCCGCCCTTCTCGGGCTTGTCCACCCTTAGCATCACCATCATCCTCATCAGCATCATCATCATCCTCGTCACCATCATCACCATTTCATCAGCATCATCATCTTTTTTCTCCTCCATCCTTCTCCTGCATACTCTCCCTTCTTATCCTCCTTCTCCTCCCCATCCTCGTTTCATGATTTCGTGCTCCTCGGGCCGAAGTCGGGGACTGACCGGGGTGTTGCTGCTGCTGCTGCTGCTGCTGCTGCTGCTGCTGCTGCTGCTGCTGCTGCCTGCGTGGGCGCCATCCTTAAGACGCGTGCCCACCACTGCCTTGGCAGTGCGTTGGGCCCGCCACAGACATGCCCGGAGATATTTGCAGGTTGCCGCCGTGCTTCGTAGCTGTAGAGGCAGACGGGAAACCTCATGCCCTAAATTGCTGTGCTGTCCTCCCGCACCTTGTGTGGGTTCCCCGCTTTCCTTCCCTCTCTGCTGGGCTCTCCGTTTGCTTCTCTTTTGGGTTTCTCTTGTCGTTGCATCTCTGCCCGCCATGGAGGCGATGCGCCAGGCTGCCGTGAATGCCTGCCCCCTCGGGCGGGTGGCGCAGGCAGCGCCAGTGATGAGACCACCTCGGGTGCCAACCCTTCGCCTTCAGGTGACCAGAGTTTTTGTTTCCTGCTTTCGCGTTGTGGCGGGCCGTTGCTGCGCCCCCTGGCCCAGGTTGTGGCTTCCGTGGCCTGCCCTCGTCCTGTTGGCTTACCTTGTTTCTCTGCCTTCGGGTGGGTCTTTGCATCAGTGTTTCAGCGTACCGCGTGCTGTCCCCCCTTATCGCGGGACGCTGTGTCGGTTTGTTGTTTTGGTTTGCGTTGAGTTGCAATTGTGCCCTTGTGTATTGCGCCAAGAACCCCTCACGGTGTCATTGGCAGGTGTCGAACTGATGTTCCTGCTCGCTTGCTCTCTCGGCCGCCGCTCCCGCCCTCCCCCTCCCGCCTCTCCTGGTCTTGGCTGGTGAGAAGTGTTTTTCCTTCCCAGGGTCACGCTCGTTAGCCGCCCCCCCCCCCCCCCCCCCCCCCACCCCCGGATTATGCGAACGATCGTACATTTTGGGGGGGTCCTTGGACCCCCCTACATGCTTCGGTATCTTTCAACCGATCCCCATCCCCATCCCCGCCCCCTTCGAGACCTCCACCAAATTACCACCCCAGTTGGGGATACACCCCTCGAAATCCGCAGGGAACGACCTATGTCTCCATCTAGGGGGGGTAATTCGGCGAGTGGGGCCAAGGCCACGCCGCTGGGGATGGGGATCGGATGAACGATGCACAATGCTGGGGGACACATGCGATTGATGCGACGGTGGCGCGGGACGCACCCTGGCGGGTGCACGCCGCGGCCGCCGTTACCGTTACCCTCCCGCCCGACCCTCCCCCCCGGGCAACGAACGCTATCCAGGAAAGACAAAAAACGGTCACTTGTCTCTCCACAGCGTTCCCCCCCCCCCCCCCGAAGCTGCCTCTTCGTGTTTCTGTCGGATCCTCGTCGCCACGTGCTGGAGGAGAGATTACCGCGATGGGGGCGCCTTCAGACGGCCTGTCACCCGATCCGCCAGAGCGGTGCTTTTCCGTCGGATACCTCTTGCTTCCCCCTGGCCCGCGCGAGGCTCTATTTGAATTGCGAGGCGCCCTCTCTTTCGCGGCCGGGTCTTTTTCCTATGCGCGAAGCCTCGTTGAAGTACGAGGCTGCATGGCAAGATAGGGAGTGCGGCTGTTGGTTGTTGGGGCTCTCTCGTTTTTTTCTTGGGTTTCCACCCCCCCTCCTCCACAGTACTTGTATCCCCTGAGGGCCCCCTCTGCTGCCGTTGCTTCGTCGCTAGTGCTGTTTTGTGCTCCCCCTCCTGCTCCGCGGTGCTGGTGCCCCTGCTTCTGGTGGCGGGTGGGCTCTTCGCCCGGCAACGGGTCGTCGGCGGGCCTCATGGGACGGTGAGTTATGCGTTCCGTGTCGCTCGTGCGCCAGGGATGCACCAGAGTGCCACAACGCCCCGCCTGCCGCCCCTCTTGCTTCTCTTTGCGGCCTCTCCCCCCTCTCTCCTCCAATTGGGCGCGCGCCCGCTTGGCGGCGCGCCCTGGCAAGGACGATGGACTATGGGGCGTGGTGTGCGCGCTGCGGTGAACCAAATCCTCCTCCTCCTCCTCCTCCTCCTCCTCCTCCTCCTCCTCCTCCTCCTCCTCCTCCTCCTCCTGCTCCTCTTCCCTTTTTGCCCCGCTTTTCCTCGAGGATCGCGGAGCTGGTGCGGAACAGCGCCCGGGGCTGCGCCGCCCCAGGGGAGGCAGAAGAAGAAAAAACATCACACCCCACAGGACAGGGGGAAAGGAACGGAAGACGAGAGGACGAGGGGAGGGGGCGGAAGGCACAATTGGAAGGGGGGGGAGGAGGAGGAGAGGAGCAACACCGCACACATGGAAAGTTTCGGAGCTCCGCGCGGACTTATAGGATCGGCGGTGGACCCCCTTACGGCGCCCCCAGCGCCGCCTCTGGCGCGTTCCGTGCTCCGGGGAGGGAGGTCCAGCGCCGTTGCCAAGGAGTCCGCGCGGAGCTCCGAAAGTTCACGCAGAAACCCGCAATTGCGGATAAGAGTGCTGGGGCTGGGGTGGGGTGGGTCGCGGGGTGGGTCGCGGCGTGGGTCGCAGGGGGTCACGGGGGGGACGACGACAACAAACACCAGCAGCAAACGACAAACAAGTGTCAAGCACAATCGCGGCCATCCGGGGGTGGTGCAGGACCGCTCGGCCGCGTCACTCTGATGACTGCATGCCATTTTGTCATCCTCCAGAGGCGGCGGCGGCCTTCGGGTGCGGCAGCGAGGGCGCAGCGGCGGCCCTGCGGTGCGGCAGGGAGGGCGGCGCGGTGCCGTGCGCGCCGCCCACGGAGGCGGAGCCGCTGCTGCAGCAGTGGCAGGACGCGCTGCGCCTTCACGCGGAGGTGACGCTGCAACGCCTCAGCTACCTCAGGGGCCGGCTGGACCCCTCCGAGGCCCAGAGGAGGGCAGAGCCTCGGAGCGAAGCTTCGAGGTTCGAGGTTTTCACGGGACTTCGTGGGCTCTTGGCGGCTTCCAGGCTCGGGATGCGGTCCAGCAGCTGCGCCTCGCCAGGAGCGTTGCAGGGGTGCCCAGATCGTCCCGAACGGCCGCCAGCGGCCCGAGCACCAGTTATGCCATTCTCACAAATGGGGAACAGGTGTGGATACCGCTGCTCTTCCCTCGTTTGGGCATTTCGGGTCTTCTGGGGGGCCCTCGTCGCCACAGCTGGATTCGCCTCGGAATGCTAATCAGAACGCTCCCCTCGAAATGTCTGGCGGGGGAGCGGTATCAGTATCTTCTGGTATCCCTCAGAGGCCGAGCAGGCCCAGCAGAGGGAGGACGAGGACCTCATCGAAAGCTGGCAGGAGGTGGCGCGCCTGGGCTACAGGGCGAGGTGCGCCGTGCGGGGGGCCAAGAGGCAGAGCGGCCACGAGAGCCAGCCGCCTACCGGCGACTCGCAGTTTTCCTTCAGGGTGGAGCCGGACAGCCTGGCAGACAGGGCGCCCGTGCCGCAGACGAGTCATGGCGCCGCCGCCAAGGCCCCTGCGGCTGACGCCACGCCGCCCGCTGCCGCCGCGCTCGCTAGCGGCGGGTCAGCGGCCGCGGCCACCGAAAAGGTGCGGCCTTGGCAGGCGCGGCCGCGGGGGCCCGCGGCCCCTGGATACATGCCCGCAGAGGCCAGGCCCCCGCAGGCCAGGCCGCCCGCCCAGGTGAGCGACGGCCGCGCGGCAGACCCAGCGCATCCGGCGCACGCGCCTGGCCCCACAGCCTTGTCGGCGGTCGGTACTCTCCCCGCTGGCTGCGTTCAGTCGGACGGCGATGCGGCGGCTGCAGCGGCCGCGCCGTCACCTCAAGCGGCAGCCGCTGCACCGCCGCCACCGCTGGGGCCGACCCCGCCCAGCGCCCCGCAGCCGTGGTCAACAGCCGAGGCGGCGGTAGCCCAGCCGCGCTGGGCCGTGCTAGGCCCGGCTGCGAAGGCGTCGGTGACTGCACCGAGCGCCGCCTCGCCCTCAGCCGTCATGCCAGGACATGTGGCGGGCGCTGCCGCCGCCACTGCGACGCCAGAGACGCTCCCTCGGGCTGCACCTTCGACGCCGCCAGACGGAGGTCAGCTGCGGGCTCACGAGAAGGGCGTCGCGCACCCTCGCTGTTCGGTGCGGAAGGCGCTCAATGCCGCGCCGCAGTCTCCCAGTTCGGTGCGGAAGGCGCTCAGCGCAGCACCGCGTCCGCAGCCGCAACAACCGGAGCAGCCGCGCCCGCCCGAGGAGCCCCTGCGAGGTGGGGCCAGCGTCGGCGCGGCGCGCGCTGGCCAGCCCCAGCTCCGCGCTGGCGGGTCGCCTGCCGTTGCGGCGTTGGCGCCCACGCGCCGGCCAGAACAGGGCCACCGATTGGGTGTCGCTGTCACTGCCACGCCCGCCGACGGGGTGCCGAGGCGTGGGTGCACGGCTGGCGCATGCCCCATGGTGCCACGGGGCCGCGCGCCTGCGTCCAGCGGGGCGGCCACGCCGTCAGCGGAGGCTAGCGCCCGGTGCGTTCGCCAGCTGCGCAGCGGCACGGTGGGCTCCACGCCGAATCTGTTGTTGCAGTGGACGCCACCACTGCCGATGCTAGCACACGGGGCTGGCGCGGCTCCAGGCAAGGCGGCGACTGCTCCTGCCTCCGCCGCGGCGCCGCCAGCTTTGGGCCGTGACGCGGCGGTGCGCGCGCAGTCGCCAGAAGGTTGCCTGCAGACAGGCGTGCGGCAGGCGTCCACCGTGGACCAAGCGTGGTTCAAAGCTCCCCGTAGCTCCAGCGCAGCAGTGCCCGCCTCGTCGCCGGCACACCGTTCGATGTCGCCGAGGCTGAGCGGGAGGCGGTCCTACGGGGCTTCATGTCGGAGCAGCTCCTTTTTGCTTGCGGCGTCGCAGGCAGAGCCTCCGCGGACCGACATGCCTACGACCGCCTGGCCGCCGTGCCCAGAGTTGCTGCCCAGCATGGCGCTCACCGCGTCGCCCGTGCTGGCGCGGTCGCCCTCGGACTCCACGCTCTTGGCGACACGCCCCGCGTCGCGTGCGCCATCGCCCAACCCAGGGAGGCAGTCGCCGTTGATGCAGCTGCAGTCCCGCGCCACCTCGCCCGCGACCCGCGCCGACGGGCTGAGTGCGGTGATCGCGACGGCCGCGCAGGACTCCGCCGCGTTGTTCGCCGCGCTGCAGATGTGCGACGGCCAACAGATCATTGGCTCGCGGGGCACCCTGCCAGCCCGCCTGGCAGGCAGGCCGACCTTAGGCGCGTTGTCGCCGCAGTCCTCGTCGCAGTGTCTCATAGCTCCAGCGTCGGCGCCCGTGGATGCGGCGGCAGCCGCCGCCAATAGTGGGCAGATGTCGTGCCTTGTGGCCATGGAACACCCCGCCTCCGCGGCACCCGCGCAGCCGCCGCGCTTCATCAGCGACGCTAGTTCTGCGGCCTCGGTGCCCGTGAGACCAGGCACCAGCTGCTGCACAGTGCTCTGTTGAGGCGGCAACGCGTGGCGGCGAGCAAAGGGGGCGTAGGGCTGAGAGGGCGGCCTCTTAGAAGTCAGGGGTCCTCATAGAAGTGTCTTGCCGCTCAAAGGCCATATTCCCTACACGTTCTATGTGATGGAGTCTTGTGGGAAGGCTGCCCTCCTGACCCTGCCCCCTCCGGCGCGCCACCACAGACGCCTTGACGCGGTGGTCCAGCCAAGCTGTGGCTGCGCAGTGTGAGGAAGGTTCCCTCATGGTTTGGCCACGCCTGGACCTGGTGTATGTCAGGCCTCGCGCTCTGCATATGCGCGACGCGGCTCGGGGGGAGCGCACGAGTGGAAAACAACTTCTGTTGATGTTGTTCGCGATGGTCCGTGATCGTCCACGACCCGTGGGCGCGCTGGAACGTTCAGCACCGTTTTTGTTGTGTAGTATTCCTTCCCTCGAAGAAATGATGCCGCCCCTGATTCGACGGGGAAGTACATGCGGGAGGCATGTCTGGTGGACATCGTGCTTTCAGGCGGGTTCCTAGAGGGAGGCATGCAGCATCGTGCGACTGCAGGGATAAGTTTGCGGTTCACATGCCGCCGAAGAAGAGGCGAACGCTTGAAAAAGCAGCCATGTTGCACGTAAATTTGCATTTGCAGGCTGCCGCGTGCAGTAGCAACAAGAAAGGCTCATCATTCATCATCAGTATTCCGCTTAGTCGCACACTGGGCGAATTCCGAGCACGCCTGCACAGTTGATTTGCTTTCATTCGAAGTCAGAGGCGTTGCAATCAGTGACGTGCACATCTTATTCGCACGGTATTTGCAGGCTGATGGCCATAGCAGCCGGCACAGAGCAGGTGCATGCGAGCTGCCGGAGACACGACGAGGGTTTCTCGTGTTGGCAGAGTGCGAGCAAAAGCAGCTGGCGCGCTTATCGCTCCTTCTGGCCGCCTTCCAGCCGTGGGCATTTAGAACTAGCATCTTTCATGCTTCCGCTAAAAGGTGGGAGGCGGCTTGCTTGCAGCCTGGGCGAATGCGAGAAGCTGACATGTGACATGTCCAAACTGCTGTGTTGCGCGATCAAAAATACCGTCGCACCGTTTTTTTGGCTGGCTGCTTTGAGGGCGCATGGCAGTGGCAGCCGTCCGCGCGGTACGCAGGCATGCTCCTCTGGCCGCCTCGCTCGGCCGGGGGCGCCGCGGCGCGCGGCGTCGATTCGAAGACTGGCGCAGTGTGCCGCTGAGAGCAACGGCCTGTAGTCGGCAAGCCGTCGCTGCCCCGCGGAGTGGGAAAAATTCTCCTTGGAGGGCCGTTGGGCCTTACCCTCCCTTGGCCTCCTGCCCGCTGCTGGTGTGGTGTCAGTGGGGATTCGGGGTCACCGCGCGGTTGCGGGGCATCGGGCCGTGATCCGAGCACGTCTCGGGCGACTAGGACCCCCGAGGTTTCAAAACTGGGCAGTGATGGACCGCGCGGTGAGGTCTTTGGGGGCTCCGAGGTCACCCCGCGGTCCGTCAACACACCGTGTTGTGGTGGCCCCGAACAGCAGCCAAAGCACGCCGAGGCCCTCACATGCCCCATTTTCCACGCCGGGGGAATAAGGTCAGGAACTTTCGGGTAGCGTGTCGCTCCGCCGGTTCTGGCCCACCACGCCTCGACGCGACACGCTAGTTATCCACTTCGCGGTCCCCAGGCGTCCACGTGCCGAGCCTTTCCCAGCTTCTCGCCCCACGGAGCGGAGCGGCACGATCTGCTTGCAAGGCATAGCGTGTCGTAGGGGCCGCCGCCGCGACACGCTAAGTAAAAGTGTCCGACCGTTCCCGCATCCACCGATCTGGAGACGGGCCCCTGAGAATCCCGCGAAACATTGGGTACGGGGTACCTTTTCCGCCTCGCGGGGTCCCCAGCGCTCCGCGAGATCCGTGGGGGCACGATTCCGAAGCGGTGGATCTGGAGAGTCCCGGGGGAAGGCATTCCACTCCACCCCCTTTCGGGGTCGTCCAAGAGGGGGTTAATCACTAGGGCAAGGGGGATATCATGGCCGGGGCCATGATATCTCTTCGGGTTGCATGGCCCCCTCTGCTTCTTCTTCTTCTTCTTCTTCTTCTTTCAGCATGTCCCCTGGTCCCCGCCTCGTCCGCGCACGTGCCTCGGGCCATGATTTGCGACCTCCCCTCTTGGACGCTCCCCTCTTGGCCACACCCGACCCTCCCCCACCGCTGGCCCTCGACCCTCCATCCGCTCGCTCCCGCCGCTGCCGCTCTACGCAGCTACCGCTGAAGAAGACCTCCAATCTCAGCGACGCCGAGGCGAGACTTGGTTCTGCAGCTGCGCTCCACGCGTGCAGCTGTTGGAGATTGCACGCTTCACACTCCTTCATTTTGCGGGGCATCGACTTGCGGGTGAGAGCGCGAAGCAGAAAACTAACCGCCCTACATCCGCCTAACCATGGGATGATCTCTCCTCAGGGGCAGTATTTGTGAGGCAGTCGTAAGCGAGCACGCCATTGCGAGATGCTACTGCCCCCCATCCGCGTAGCTACTGGAGAAGAGCACAAGCTGTAAGGATGTCTCAGCCGACGGCGCGATGTTTTATGAGGAGTCGCCCTCCCACCCTCACAGCTGTGATGAGATTCAACTATTCACCTGCCTGTGAAGCCTCAGTCGAAACGCCCGGCCAGTACTTCCGGCACGTCTGTTGACGCGCCGACAGGGAGTCATGTATCAGGACACGAGGTGGGGAGTATGGAGGAGGGGCCAAGGGGGAAGACATGGTTGGAGAGGGGGAAGAGGGGCAGAAGATGGGATATGCTGTGTCCCCCTGTCTCTCGTCATCGCCACCCGAGACATTCAACAAACTCACGACTTTTGTAAATCACAGCCTGAGCTCTCGACCATTCTTGCTAGAATCTCTCGAGCTGGATTGATACGACAGGTTGCTGGGTCTGGACACCGCGCAAGAACGCTCGCCTGCATGTTGATCGGAGGTGAGGGGGTGAGATCGAAGTGGAACGGAGAGCACACCTACCGGGAAATCGGTTTCGGTTTCGTGTTCGTGCGTGCCGTGCGTGCGGGCGAGGCGAAGCTGCGTGGGCGGGCTAGAAGAAAGTCTCCTCAGGCTGAGGCGCCGCCGGACCAGATGATTCCTTTCCAGGGGCCGGTGGCCCGCGGTGTCCCGCCGGTGTCCCGCCTCCGGCTGAGGCGCGGCCGGACCAAATGATTCCTTTCCGGGGGCCGGTGGCCCGCGGTGTCCCGCCGGTGTCACGCTGGTGTCCCGATGATGATGATGATGATGATGATGATGATGATGATGATGATGATGATGATGATGATGATGATGTTTATGATGATGTTTATGATGATGATGATGATGATGATGATGATGATGATGATGTTGATGTTGATGTTGATGTGGATGTGGATGTTGATGATGATGGTGATGGTGGTGATTATGATGGTGTCCCGATGATGGTGATGCTGATGATGATGATGATGATGATGTTGATGTTGACGATGTTGATGATGATGGTGGTGATGATAATGGCCATGGTGGTGATGATGATGATGATGATGGTGGCCCGATGATGATGATGTTGATGATGATATTGCTGATGATGATGGTGCGCCGATGATGATGATGATCCTGATGATGTTGATGATGCTGAGATGATGATGAGATGATGGTGATGATGAAGATGATGATGGTGTCCCGATGATGAAGATGATGCTGTTGATGATGGTGATGATGATGATGATGGTGTCCCGATGATGATGATGTAAATGGTGATGACGATGATGGTGGCCCGATGATGATCAGGTTGATGATGAGGATGATGATGAGGTTATGATGATGAGTTTGATACTGCTGGCCCGATGATGACGCTGATGTTGATGATGATGGTGTCCCGATGATGATGATGGTGATGATGATGGTGATGATGAGGATGGTGCCCCGATGATGATGATGATGATGATGTTGATGATGATGATGTTGCGGATTATGATGGTGTCCCGATGATGATGTTGATCATGTTGTCAATGATGATGGGATGATGATGATGGTGGTGTTCCGATGTTGATGATGTTGATGATGATGATGGTATCCCGCTGATGATAATCATGATGATGACGGCGACGATGATGGTGTCCTGGTGATGATGATGGTGATGATGGTATTGATGATGGGTGGCGACGATATTGATGATATTGATGATGGTGATGATGATGATGGTGATGATGATGATGGTGATGATGATGTCGACGATGATGATGGTGTCCCGATGATAATGATTTTGATGATGGTGGCCCGGTGATGATGATGCTGATGTTGATGATGATGGTGTCCCGATGAAGATGATGATGGTGATGATGATGTCGACGATGATGATGGTGTCCCGATGATAATGATTTTGATGATGATGACGATGACGGTGTTCCGATGATGATGATGATGTTGATGGTGAGGATGATGATGAGGTGATGATGATGCTGATTTGGATGATGGTGGCTTGGTGATAATGATGATGCTGATGTTGATGATGATGGTGGTGTCCCGATGATGATGATGGTGATGGTGATGATGATGATGGTGACGATGACGATTGTGTTCCGATCATGATGGTGGTGTCCTGATGCTGATGATGTTGATGACGTTGATGATGATGATGTTGATGATGATGACGTTGATTGTGAGATCGTCTGTGATATCGATAGTGAGATCGATAGTGAGACCGAATGTGAGGTCGATTGTGAGATCGATAGTGAGATCGATTGTGAGATCGATTGTGAGATCGATCGAGAGAGATCGATTGTGAGATTGATCGAATAAAATAGATCGAGTGAGATCGATTGTGATATCGATCGAGTGAGATCGATCGAGCGAGACCGGTAGCGAGATCGATAGTGAGATCGATAGTGAGACCGATCGAGTGAGACGTTGGTTCCTCCCCCCCGAACCTCCTTATCACCCGAAGGATCGGAGGGCGGAAGCAAAACGGGGGCGGGTCCGCCGCGAAAGGCCAGCGGA